GCAGTGACAGGCCCCACGTCCACGGGATTCTCTCACAGCCCGTACTGACTGCCTGAGCCTTCCTGTTTTTCTAAAGGAGCGTTTTTAAATCAAATTTCACTTTTTCAGTGAAGTCATTTTCTCTCTGGCTCTGCGTCTCTCAGAGTGGTCGGAGGGGAGAGGGAGGAGGGTGGGACGTGAACGGCCCCTCGCCGGACTCCCTGGATCCCGGCCATGAGCCCGTCACCCGCGGCCTCTCCGCAGGCCTCACACAGGCCTCTCACATTCCAAACTGCCTGCCTGGTTTGTTTTTTTAAGAAAGCAATAACCGCAGCACATTCGCTGTGGTTCTTTATAGCTTTCCATATGTATAATCACTCTTTCTCCCTTCAGTTTTTCCAGGGTTTTTTTCGTTTAAATAAATGCTCATAAATTTTACTCGTGAAAAGGATAAAAAAACATACTTAAAAAGAGCAGTTTGTTGGAAAAAAAGAAAAAAAAAAAAAAAAAACAAGCAGACTGTAGAAAAACCAAGCTCCTGTTTAGCATTATATACTTATGAAAATGGCGGGGGGGGGGTGTGTTCGGGTTTTATGAAAAGGAGATTCTTCTGTAGTATCTCTAAAACTTGCATGTCTGCGTCTTGAGCTGGCATTTATTCGAGAAGCTTAAACCCCCAGCCGCCATCTCCCCGGGCTTTCCAAGGAGACCAAGCAGGGTGGCTCATCGCTCCTGGCGGAAGCAGCAGTAAGCTGGGACCACAGCACACCCCTGGCTTTAGTCTTCTCCGAGCTGCTAGGTTCACGTGGGGCCTTGTGCAAGTCTCGCGATTCAGAGGCCCCTGTGTTTATAACTGCACAGAACATCTGGAAAGTTCTATGGCTTTATGATTAAGTCAGTCACTTGATGAGCTAGAGTAAGAAACTGGTGCTGAGGTCCCTTCGGATCCTCTCTGCCCCTCAGAAAAGCTGCAGCAGATTCTGCTGGCCGCCTTCCCAATATCCATTCTTCCCTTCCTCCTTACCAGCGGAACTCCGGTTTCATTTGGGGCAGCAGCGTGCCCAGCTATAGAGCAATTTCCCAGCCTCCCTTGCAGCTGTGCCACGTGGCACAGTCCCAGCCAATAAGGTGGAAGTGGAAGTCCCTGGGCCGGCTGACTCGGCTGACTCACTTTTTTGCCCCTCACTCTTCCTGCCTGGAATTCAGTCATATGTTGGAGGTAGAGCAGCCATCTTGCAACTTGGGGTGAAATCTAGCAGAGTGGTAAAACAGAACAGCTCAGAGGAGTCTGGGTCCCTAATGCATCAAGGGGTCACTGAACCAGCCCTGCACTGCCCACTGCCGACGACTTCTTGTTACCTGATAAAAATAAAGCCCCTATTTGGTTAAGGCACAGTAAGGTGGGTTTCTGTCACATACAGCTAAACCTAGTCCTAATATCTGTACGAGGCGGAAGAGGAGAAACAGGCCTTCAGCAAACATCGAGTCTCTTCTGTGTGTCTGGTGCTGCCAGGAGCTGAGTGAGGGTGAGCAGCCCAGACACGGCCCTGCCCTCCCAGGGCTCACAAGCTGGTGGGCGGCAGACAACAGGAGACAAAGTCAATGAATTACTGATTATCTAATTGCTCTGAAGGAAATAAGAGAGGCCTTGGAAAAGAGAATCCTAGACGGAGAGCTACTTCCACTGGGTGGTCCTGGGACTAGTGAGGAAATGATATTGAAGGGGACGAGTGGGAGGAAAGAATGTTCCAGACAGGAAGGAGCAGCATATGCAAAGCCGCCAGCTGGGAAGGAGCTTCAGTGTTGAAGGAACTGAGAGGAAACCGGTGAGGCTGGAGCAAATGAGTGAGGAGATGAGAGGTGCTGGTGCAGGGTGGGAGAGGCAGGCCGGTCATGCGGTACCCTGGGTGGGGTTTTTCTTTAAGTTGTTGAAGGATTTTGAGAAGAACATTGTCTTTTAAGAAGACGTTCATCTGGAAAGCAGCTTCAGCCTCAACTTTTGTGGGCCTGTTGGTTGCACAGAGATCTTGCCAACCCGGCTGTGAAAACAAGTTGCTCGTCCCTGGTCCTGAGGGGCTTGGGCGTGAGCCAGGCTCAGGTTCTGAAGGCAGATGATGAACCACCCGCCTGAAGGCCAGGCCCAGCTCTGCCACGTGTGCCCTTTAGTGATCATCCTCTCTGAGCCCGAGCTCCCTTGTCTGAAAATAAGGACACTAAGAGTCCTACCTTTGCAAGCGGTGAGGAGGCACTGTGTTGAATCCTCTAATGCACTTGGCACCGTGCCTGGCATGTAGCAAGTGCTAGAACAGAGTTAATGATTTTTGCTGTTACTGGGAAGCTCATCAGAGTCCAAATCTTCCTGCCTCTAGGCTAGTGCTTCTCCAATCTAGCATCAGAATCACCTGCCCCCCCCCACCTCTCCAGCCCCCGCCCTGAGACTCTGATTAGGTAGGTCTGGGTGGCCCAAGAATTTGCATTTCCAATAAGCTCCCAGGTGATGCTGGTGCCTGTGGCCCGAAGACCACACTGCTTTAGGCTGGGGCCACGGCAGCCCTTAGGATATATCCTGGAGAACAATGCCTGACCTCCCACTGTTGTCACCACCTCCAGCCCTAGTGGACCACAGCTGACAGTGGGAGACCCCAAAGCCCGACTCCTCCTGGAAGACCGAATATATTCTTTCTGGAAAGCAGGAGAACAGGGATCGCTGATAGTACTTTTAAGGTACCTCAGAACTCCTTGAGCTGATGGTAAGAATGTCTCCCCACCAACCCCCACCCCCGCCGAGATTCTGTTTCAGTCTGAAGATGGAACCCAAATACCTTCATCATGTTAAACAAGTCCCCATGCATCTGCTGCAGGGGGGTCACCAACCACACTTGGACAAATGGTGACATAGTGGTTTTGGAGTTAGACAAATCCAAGTTCAAATCTCCCTCAACTTTCTGTCTGTGTGGCCCTGCATGGCCTTTAAAATCTTTCCAAATCTCGCTTTCCTTATCTGAAAAATGAGCTTATTAATACCAGGAATACCCTCCCTAAGAGGATGAAATAAAAATATTTGTGTAGACAGCATAAAAGTTATAATCACAGACTCCAGTGTGCAAAGGTATAACATCCTTTATTTATCTCTAGCTTATGTTAACTTAGCCCGTGACCGTGTACGTATTTCAACACTAACAGCAGAAAACCTTGGGTTGGAAACTCTAGCTCACTCAGACCACTTCCAGCTTTAAAAAACTCAGTCTCCAGTGGCAGACTTCAACCAGAATCAGCATTCTCTCCTCCTCCATTGCTGGCTCTTCCCCTGGAGGTGATCTGGGTTTTTCAGGGGTTAATTACCCTGACTTCCTCAGGGCCTCCTCCTGCCCAGCCAATGCCAGCTGTGCCACTGTGGCCATTGGCTGCACGGCCACCAGGCTTGGCCTTCTGGTCTCTACCCTAAGCCTCCTCACCTGTCAAGCTTCTTGTTTCTTTGCTCAGAGCTCTCAACAGCTGCAGTGCTGAGGTGCACCCAGCCCACAGAGCTGCCTCTAATCATCTGTCTAGTCCCCTTCTTTAGCCATTTATTAGTTTGCTGCTTAGGTGCCATATTGGATATGAGCCTTACCTGAGGGTTTGTTGTTTTATGTTTTTGGTCTTTGAGACCGAGTCTCACTCTGTTGCCCTGGCTAGAGTGCCGTGGCGTCATCAGAGCTCACAGCAACCTCAAACTTCTAGGCTCAAGCAATCCTCCTGCCTCAGCCTCCCAAGTAGGTGGGACTACAGGCGCATGCCACCACACCGGGCAAATTTTTCTATTTTTTGTAGAGGCTGGGTCTCACTCTTGCTCAGGCTGGTCTTGAACTCCTGGCCTCATGGGATTCTCCCACTTCAGCCTCCTAGAGTGCTAGGATTACAGGCGTGAGCCACCATGCCGTCCTTACCTGAGGTTTTGATCATCTCTGATCCCCTCCTTCCACAAACTGGCCCAACCCTGTCTCCTTTTGCAGATCGGATAGAAAGCAGGGCCTGTTCTTACTTCTCTCTGCGTTCTTCCTGTCTCTGTGTCCTCCCTCCAGGGGTCGGCACACAGGCATCCACACCCCTTTCTTTCACACACACACACACACACGCACACACACACACACACTGGCTCTTACAAATGCAAGCCTTGCTCTCAAGACTACTGTTTCTGCCTCAGACTTATACAAGTTCGTCCACTCTTCAGTTGATCCCTTGTTTCTAGGGCAGAGCAAGTAGACCCAGTCCCCCTGCTCGCCAGTGGGGTGAGGGAGGGTGGAAGGTAGGAGGAAGCCTGAGTATGGGGAAGGCTCCCATTAGTACGTTAAACTAGTACCCCTTTGACTCTCTTGGAGAAAGTGCCTCCCCAGCACATGCCCAGCCTGGTGTCACTGCTCAGTGAATGATCGCCATGATGATGACTTTGGTGATGAAGAGGAGGATGAGGAATTCTTTCTCCTGGATATGTGGCACTTTGTTGTGCTGGCTCTGACCGGCTCTGACCCTGTGCTCCAAAGACCAAGGGAGACTTTGAGGGCATCTCAGAGGAGCAGTTCACAAACCTGTGACTTGTCATGTTCAGTTATGGGGGAGTGAGATCCTCTGAGTAGAGACTCCTGCAGTGTGCCCTGCTCCCTCACAGCATGGGAAATGGAGCACGCAGAGGTGGAGGCTGCCTGTCTGGACCCAGCTCTCCCTGCAGCGGCCAGAAATGCCACCATCGGAGATCCTCTCCTTTAGATCAAACATTGTCCCCTCCAGGGTCATCTTAATATGTAAATACACTGGGACAACGTGTATGTTAATAGCTGCTGGGGTGAGTTCTCTGTTCTGGGCCCTGAGAGCACTGCAAGAGGAGAAAAGGAAAAGCCTGCTACCCCTCACGTTCCTGAGGGTGGCCTGGGGAGTGGAAAGGCTTCTACCAGCATTTTAAGCTGCCCTGGGAGATAAGGGGCCACCCTCTGTCCCCCCTTCAATGCTGAGCCCAGAGGGGTGGTAGCCAACACTAAACGAATTCATGTTTATTTTCTAAGGGTTCTGCACAAGGGCACGGGGAGGTGGGTATATAGGTTGGGTTTCAGGAGGAGCCCCAGGCCCTGGGGAGGAGGACGAACCCCTCCTGCTGTGCCCTCAGGAGTATTGCTAGTAGGGGTGCTTCAGGGTGTGCTCCATGATGGTCAGAATCGCCATCCACATCTCCTGGGCTGTGGGGATGATCTGTGTGGCTGGCAGCAGGAAGCCAAAGTGCCCCGTGTCCCGGAGCTCGAAGCTGAAGGCATACTTGATGCCGCTGTCGTAGGCCCAGTCGACGGTGATCCCGCTGGCCAAGTCTAGAAACAAAAGGGCCAAAAACATCCCCAAAAGGAAGAAGAGGATGTGCCCACAGGGTACAGAGTCATCTTGAGCGGAAAGTGGGCCCTGGGAGCCAAAGCCCCACCCACCCAGACCACATCAAGCTTCCTGCCCAGCCCTCTACCAGGGCCACACCTGCCCACCCCACCTCTTCTCTAGCCCTGTGAAAAGTAAGCTCCTGCCGGCCCCCCAACAGGCTCCAACCCCTCAAAGAACCTTGCAGGAGGCCAGGCATTGGGAGCTGTGCATGAATGCTGCCAAGAAACAGCTGCCTAGGCACCATGGTGCACCCTTCTCCCCAGATGTGGGAAGTAGTTTTGGCCCAGCTCAGCTAGATCTATGGCACTGTCCTGTGGCCAACCAGGCCTGCACCTGCCTGACCTCAGGTGGCCCTGGTGTCTGCAGCAGCTGCCAGGGGAGGCTCACTCACAGAGGGTGGTGCCGATGCTGCCAAAAATGTAGTGGATCCCATGGACCTTGTGCAGGGCCTTCACAGCATCCTTGGCAAGATTGTACTGCAAGATTACATGCACGGGGTGAGAGGCCGGGGCTCAGAGGGGCTCCCGCACCCTCACCAGCTGGCGAGAAGCACGGACTGGCAGTCCTGGGAGTTGAGTGTGCAGATGGCCCTGGTGAGCCGGGAGTGCAGCTCCTCCAGCTTTGAGTGTGATCACACGTGAGAACAACACACTCCTCCTCCCCCTGCCATGGGTCTGCTGGTCCAGACCCTTGTTTTCCCAGGGAGAGTCTGGACCCTCTAGGAGTGTATCGGAAACGGATTTTCCTGGGGAAGGGCCTCCTTCTCCCCAAGCCCTAAGTGGCCAGTCTCACCAACTCCTTCTGGTTGGAAACAGGCTCCAGGGATTTGCCATAAGGGTACATGAGCATCTGAGAGTAGCTGTGGATGGAGATCAGCGCCTTGAAGTTCCCATGGGCTGTGATGAAGTCCACAATGGCAGCCACCTCCGGCTCCGACTCAGGGGAGGTCCCGCGATAAGTCTCAGAGCAGGGGTTGGCATTAGAACCATTTCCTGGGAGTAAAATAGAGCCACCCAGGTATGGCAGAGACACTTAGCTCTCTCACAAAATACCCTCCTGTTCCCCTGCATTTCCCAGCTTCCTTTACAGTTTGGTTGAGGTCATGTGACTGCTTCTGACCAATGAAAATGGGAGCAGAAATGACCTGTCACTTCTGGTTTGAGGCTGTTAAGAGTAAGTGTGACTTCTCCACACCCCTCTGTCTGTGTGGCTGGAAGCAAAAATCATCTAGATAGAAGCAGCATCCTGGGTCCCTCTGTCACCACTGGAAGAAAGCTGCCAAAAACAGTCACCTACCCACAGTGGACCCTGTGTGCATGAAAATTGAACGTGTATTGTGTTAAGCCACTGAGATTCAGAGGGGTGTTAGTTACTGCTGCAGACCCTAGTCTAATACATTAGAGGTGCGTAGCCACACCACAACGTGGCAGCTCCGGAGCCCTGCAGGGAGCTCTCTTGGCTTGTCCTTTGGTTAAGTCCTGATTGTGGTTCCACCAGAAAGGCAGGCCTGCCTCAGAAGCTGCACCCAGAGGAAGCTCTAGGTCTCCAGCCCAACCCCAGCTTCCCCTGCTGAGCAGCAGTCTCTTACGCTGATACTTCTTGGGTTTGTGGCCAGCTGAGTGCTCAGTGTCTGCTCAAGCTTTGCCACGGTCATGGTCCCAGAAGCGCCATGGACTTGGGGACTGGGAAAAGAGAGAACAGTTCCCCATAGTTGCCCGAGGCTGGTCTAGGAAGTACAGTTTGCAAAGAGATCTTTGAAAATTCTTGGCACCTAAGTTGGGGGAGGGGACAAAGAGGAGCTGGGCTTTTATTTTTATTTTTTTCACAAGTTTAATTTGTTCCCATCTCCTCCTAGATTCTTTGCCCACCTCCATCTCTCTCTCTCTCTTCTTTTTTTTTTTTTTTTTTTAAGAGACAGGGTCTTGCTCTGTTGCCCAGATTGGGATACAGTGGTCCAATCACAGCTCACTGCAAACTCAAATTCCTGGCCTCAGGTGATCCTCCTGCGCCAGCTTCCCGAGCAGCTGGGACTACAGGCGTGGGCCACCACACCCCCACCCTCATCTCTTTTCTTCCTCTTCCACTCCTCTTCGGCTTTCCTCCCTTCCCTAAGGGTCATGCTGTGGTGGGTCAGGCTAGGATGGTTAAGACTTGTAGGTGAGGGACATGTTTGGAAGAAGCCATCCCAGTTCCTCCTCCCTCTCCTCTCCCTGGAATGGCTGCACCCAAGCCTGGTCCAGAGGCCAGGGAACACCCCAACTTCTGAAACCTGAGGACCCCACAGTACCCCATCTGAACCCTGGGGCAGGGGGCTGGCCCAGGGACCTGTTTAGAGGATGCTATAGGAATGCAGTGCACGGTCCTCCCTAAGAGTGCAGAGTGGGAGGGGTGGTCTACAGATGACTCATTACACTGCAATCAAATTAAGGCAATAATAAAACCATAAACAAAACTTCTCGCCTGAGTCACCAACTCAGACACACATTACTTCTGGCCACAGGGAGGCCCAGAGGCAATTCTGTCACCAGGGAGCACATCCTCTCTTGGTTTTCTGGTCCTCATCTGGGGTGGGGACCCCAGAAGGGGATGTGCCTGCAGACAGCAAGGGGGTGAAAGGCAGCCCCCCACGCTGGAGTGGGCCCAGCTAACAGTGTTGTGTCTGCTGGGAGCTTCTGCACCTGCTCCACTTGATGAATGACAAACAGCAACAGATGCACAGGGCAAGGAGGCTGAAAGCTTTGTCTGCTTTTGCAGCCCACGCACAGAAAGCAGTTCCCCTGCCAACGACCAGGTGGCTTTGCCCAAATATGGAGAAACACTTCAGGCTATTAGTTCTGGTTTGAGCTAAGCAGAATAAACTAATCTTCCCCTGGCCGAATGGGAATTAGCTGCCTGCGTCTCTGACGTTCACAGTCAAGGTCCTCTGAGCCTGCCTGTTTCACAAGTACCTGCTAATGGATTCATTAGCTATTTATTTTTCCTTCTCTAAAACTGTAATTTGTAGCAAGGGGACATCTCTGGAAGGACATGGTAAATCATTAAAAGCGGTGATCTTTGAGTAGTGGGATTATGAGAGCTTTTTGCCCCCTGTGGACTTTTTTTTCCCATAATTGTTTTGTACATTGTGTATGTACAGATTTTTTTTCCCCTCTGGTGAAACCACAGAAGTTATTTTCTTCAAGAGGTAATTTATCTTTCTACTATCCAGTCTGCCTTGGGGACCATGGACACTCACTCCAGTCAGTTCCGAAGGGCCCAAATGGATGCCCACTGGGGCAAGTGTCTGGTCACATTGGGGTGGAAACGCCTAATTTTGCACCGTCTTGTGCTCTTACCCAAGAGGTTACACACAGAGCCCAGACCCTCAGGCAGCCCCAGCGCTGTGGGCTTGGGGCCTCCCTCCCAGCGCTTCAGAGCTGTCCTCATTTTTCAATGAGAATAGACCGCAAGAAGCCAGATTTTCAAAGCAATAGGCATCCAGATCAAGAATGTTCTATCTCATTGCTTTGGACACCAGCCTATGGGTCTGCTTGGCAACAGCAATGGCACTGTCCCCTGTAGAGCCAAACCCCGACCTGCCCGTGGAGTGTGGATGCCACATCTGGAGGCCGAGGGCTGTGTCAACTCTGGAGGCTCTGTCCTGGCTAGACCCAGCATCCCACCCATCCAACTGCTGCATTCCTGGGGTCCCTGAACCTGCCTCAGTATCCCCATCTAGTCCCTGTGCCCGGCATGGTAAGAGGAAAACAATCAGGGAGGAACACCAAGGAACTCAGGAGAAAGCTGCCCCCTACTCACTGGGCTCACACAGCCCTGCAGGAGTGCACCAGCCAGCTGGCCAAGGGTTACAAAGTAATGAGGTGAAAATAAAAACCAGGCTCAAGTCTGCCTTGTGATAAAAAAATTCACCCATTCTGCTATGTCTTTGGACTATTGCTCTGGCCTCCCCAAAGGGCAAGTTTCAGGTCCTGCTCTCAGGGAATGAGTTCAGATGCATTTCTTTGTGCTGTGCTCCCTTCAGGGAAGGGCTAGGAATATTTTGGGGGCACCATAAACTCTGGATTTTGAATGACCAGCATGACTACTTTGTACCTCCTTAAATATTTCTCTGCCATGTTTTGGGTTTGGCTCTCATGGTTAAATTAATCCTCATCTCCGGAGGCGGGGCCTCCCTTACATGTTTCCCACGCAGCCTTAGCACATGTGTACACACCTGTGCAACCTCTCTGCGTATCCCACAGTCAATCCCAGGTATGTGCCTGCCTGTCCCTGTCCATGACTCATGCGTGTTAGCTAACTAGTTTGTCCTGTGTCTCCCGAGTTATGAGCCAACATAATCTGGCTGGGTGGGAGAACGTGCCAAGGACCAACACCTCCTTCCCCAGCCCCGCCTCCAGCCCCGTCAGGGTGCCATACCTCCAAAGCCTGACTTCCAGTTCCTGTTGAGATCCACGCCAATGCAGAAGATTCCAGGTCTGGTGGACTTGTTCTTTCGCCACAAGCGGTTCTGAGAAAGCCCAGGTCAGGTGACCTCATTCACTGGGCCAATTCCCAGGGGTGGGAGCCTCTGACATTGGGGGTGAGGGAGCGGGGGCCCAGGGAGGAGCAAAGGGAAGGAATCGCTAGGATAGAATGGGGCTGGCATCGGGCTGGGCTGAGGCTGCAGATCTAGTACTTGGCAGTTGAAGTCAGGGTCTGGGGAGAGGCCCGAGCACAGGCTGCCAATAGTGGCCTTCCCTGGGCAGCGGGAAGGTGGTCAGAGGGCAAGAAGCTGCAGGCGCAGCACCTGAGCAGCCCTCTTGCCCTCAGTGAGGCTCTCTGCAAGGAGCCCCTGAAGGTGCTGGCTCCCCGAGGCGCAATGACCTTTTCTCCATCCCCCTGGAGTGGGTCCCCTCCCCGCATGCTCCCAGGTGCCCTCACCATGCTGTGGGTAAAAGCAAACCCATCAGGGTTGGTGACAAGCTCTATGAAGATGTCCATGGCTTTCAGTATGTCTGTCAGGACCGCGTCTTTACCATATTCGCTGACAATCTGCAAGAAAGGGTAAGGGGTGGGAGGCCCTGCTGGGCTGTCCTGGGAGGTGGAGCAACACATTTGCACAGCCGGTGGCTGCAGGAAGGGGTGGCATGAGACCATCAGGTACATCCATCATGAAGAACCAAAACCTTAGATTTTAAACAGCTAGAACGCAGAGGATAGATGCGGGCTCTGGGCTGCAAAAGGCCAGAGCACATGGTGGCTGTTCCAAAGGGGAATGAGGGGAGAGAGCACCCCAAGTAAAATCTTTCCACTAGAGGTGCACTTAAATGGTCACCTGCCCCTCCCCCAGTTCCAGCCCCCATCACAGCTGCCCTCGGGTGCGAGGGTCTATGCTGACCTTCTTGGCAGTCCAGATGCCGGTAGCATGGGTGATCCACTCCCGGGAGTGGATTCCAGCGTCAATCCAGATGGCTGGGCGCCGAGAACCTCCAGTGCTGAACTGGGAAAAAGAAGCAGGCCCCAAACGGAGGTTTGCCTCGAGACAGCTGCTGTCCCTGGGCTACCTGGAGGGAAGCGCCAGGTGCATCCTACTGCCTGGGGCAGCTCTACATGTCAGGTGTGCCTAGCCCAAGACAGGGTGTGTGTGCGCCCAATAGCGCACAAAGCGGGGCGGGCCTTGAAGATAGGTAGTCCCCTTGGAGAGCCAAGTGACCCAGCTGGGGAAGCACAGAATTTCCCAGGATTGAAAGCATCTTAAGACTAGTGTTCCCCAAACTTAAATGGCACATGAACACCCACCCCCCTCCCCGGGGATCTTACTCAAGTACAGATTTTGATTCAGTAGATCTGGGAAGGGGTCTGAGGTTCGGCATTTCTAGCAACATCACGAAGGTGACTTTGATGCTGCCATGCAAGGACCACACTTTGAGTAGCAAGGTCTCAGGCCAGGGTGGGAAACTGTGGCCTTAAGGCCACATATGACCTTCTAGGTCCTTAAGTGCGACCTTTTGACTGAATCCAAATTTTACAGATCTTTTTATTTTTATTAATACATTTTTGTTCATCTTTTATATTTTTATTTTATTTTTAAAATGGACATATTTAAAATGCCAAAGAATAAAATAAGTTTCAACAAAATAATCCTCCCAGATTGACCAGTGGAATTAGAACATTAGTAATCATAAGGGCTAAACTGACAGCTGCTCCGCTCATGATTTAGTTCTAACTTCCCCCGCCTGACCGGCACCGCTATCACACGAGGCTGGTTGGTGAGAGTTTATGGGGGTCGAGTACGCCAGTCTGTTACCAGCTTTTGACAACAGTGCACTGTGTTTCTGTTTGAAGTGGAATTTGTGAATAGTTGCACAGCTCAACAGTATTTTTTAATTCTGTCTGCTTAACAGCCCATCATGTCAAAGAAGACCAAGAGAACGCTGAAGGAAGAAAAGAGATTTTTTTAATGAGAATTGGGAATGGCAATATTATCTTGTTTCTGCTAAAGATATGATTTGCTTGCTTTGTGATGCTGCAATATCAACATTAAAGAAATTTGATGCTCATCAGCATTATAACACTCACAAAGACCAAAAATATTTTAAATTAGAGGGAGAGATGCGAAAGCTTGTATTGCAGACATTAAAAGATGAAAAACAAAAGCAAAGACAATTCCTGCAAGCAGCAATAAGACTTGGAAATGATGCCACTGAAGCAACTTACAAAGTAGCTTATGTACTCAGGGGGAAAATGGGAAGCCATTTAGTGATGTAGAAATTACGAAAGAATGCATGTCAAAGTTGTAGGATGCTTAGACCTCAATAACGTTTCAAAGAACAAATAATTGCCTGTTTCAAGGAGAACCATAACTGATTGGCAGCATGAATTAGCCTTAAACTTAACAGAACAAGTTCATGCAATACTTCAAAAGGAAAATATATATTATTCAATCACTTTGAATGCATCAATCGATACTACTAACTCGGTGCAGGTTTTATACTTCATTCGAAGTATAACAGAAGATTTTCTTTAGCACGAAGAGTTACTCACATGTGAGAACAGAACAGGGGAATAGATATCTTCAACAACTTTCAAGACAAATGTTGTGAAGTTGGACTGAATTTGGTAAATTTAGTTAGTGTATGTACAGATGGTGCATCTTCCATGACAAGAAAATATGACGGGTTTATTGCACAGATAAAAAAAAAGTATTAACAGATCCAAATGCTCTCATTTTCTTTTCACTGTATCTTGCATCAGTGAAATCTCTGTGCTAAGTTACTATTTTAAGTGACACTTTGCAACAAGTTATAAGTATTGTTAACCATATTCCTGCAAATGCAACCCGACATCCGGCATCATCAATTTCATAACATGCTGAAGTTGAAGGATGAGACATTCAGTGTGGATTTGCAGTATCATGCTAAAGAGTGTTGGCTATTGCAGGGACAGGTATTAGCCAAAATTTTATCTTGAGAGAACAGATAATTAAATGTTATGAAGAACAGAATCAGTAATGTGAATTATTGAAAGAAGATTTCTGTAAGAATGCAGCATTTCTGTGTGATATCACGTCAAACAAAATGACTTGAACATTTCTTTGCAAGATAAGACTAAGTCTGTATATGATATGTGGCGAAAAGTCCAAGCATTTTGAAAAAAAAAAAAGCTATCTTTTTTCAAAACACTTCAAAAAGAAATTTCAGATGAACATTTTCCCCAGTTAGCGAAGGTCATTGATGAGTAGGATGATACATGTAAATCAGTTGAAGAATACACAGCTGTTATAGACATATTCGTTGGAGAATACAATGAAAGGTTCACTGACTTTAAGAGTCATGACATCACACTGAAATTAGCATTTCAGCCTCACCTAGTTGATATCAAGGCACCTAAAGAAGTATAGCTATAATTGATTGAGCTCTCAGTAGATGACATTTTAAAGTCATTGTTTGACGCTAAGAAAGATCTGATTGAAATATGGAAAAATGCAGTAGAATACCCAGACCTTCAGCAACATGCCCAAAAAATGTTTTCTTGCTTTTCAACCACTTATTGCTGCGAATCTACATTCTCCTACCTAACCCAAATCAAGATGCCCTTAAGGTCACAAATGACTGATGCCCATCTACAGGATCAACTGAAACTGCAGACCACCATGCTGCAACCCAATATTCAAATGCTTTCCAACAAAAAGCAGACACAATGAAATCATTTAAAGGTTAGTTAACTCTAAAATTAACAAATAGTTTTCATTTTTTGAAATTATGAAGTACATAGTAGCTAGATTTTTACAAAATAATGTACATTTTTAAGTATATCATTGAAGTTTCTTGAATGCGGCCTTATTTGATTACAGCTAAATTAATGAGGCCTTCCAACATGGAAAGGTTACCCACCCCACGACACTACAGAGAGAATACCACCACAGCCCCAGGGGAAATGGAAGCAGAGACGAGGGAAGTCAGGTCCCAAGTTAGGGGAGGCCACTTGGCTGTTCGGAAGAGTCCACCAGAGCATTGTTGAGAGTGGCAGAGCCTGTCCTCTCTGACAGCTGACGCCCAGTGACCTGCGTTCAGGCCCCCTTTAGGGCCTGAACTAAGAATTGTTTTCTGGTGGGCTCTGCCTTCACCTCCCCTGTTCCTTCATGACCAAGGGACTGTGTTGCCGAGTTTGTCCAAACTCTGTTCCAGTGGCCCTTGTGAAGGGTTGGGAGGTTCCTCCAGAAGCTCAGGCCTCTATGCAGGGCTGCCTGAGCCAGATGACACCAGTCATTGGCAAATGGGCCCTCCATGTACCTCTCTTCCCATTTAACAGATGAAGCAACTGAGGTAATGGGAAGAATGCTGACTCACCCACAATCGGGCCCCAAGTCCGGGGAGACAACTGCCATTCTGCAGCTCCATCTCCTTAGCAACCTCCCACCTGCTTCCTGACCAAGGATGTGCCAGATCATGGCACTACCACCTGTCTATACCTACTAGGGTGGGTCCCTGAATGCCACAATCCCAACGCTCATGGGTCACCCGAGGACAGGAGAACACACATCTTCTCTCTCCCCAGAACTCCTACCCAGCTACTACCTGACATGAGCTCAGTGTTATGCCAGAGGCCCTCACTGTCAAGTCTAGTGGTGGACACTGCAAGCTTTTACCTTCAGGACAAGAATGGACCGATTTTCAAAGCTGCTGCCAATCCGGATTTTTGAGACCATGTCTGAATGCTCAGTTACAAAGTTGTCAATCCAGCTATATATCTGAAAGGAATGAAGTTTATCAGACTGGCAGTTAAGTAGGGAGAGGCATGAGCCCTAGGACCTCTCCAAATGTTCTCCTTTCCCTATCCACCTTCCTCAGTGCCTTCCCACCTCCCTTAAGGGTCTAAAAGAACCCAGACTGAAAATTGCAAAAATTGAACATGCCGTCAGGACTAAGGGCAATGAGTTGTGATCTGGTTGGATCCCCAGGCTCCTTGCCCTGTGCAGAGCTATGCCTTTGCCTAGGAGAACAGCAGATGCTGAGCATGCTTGAATCCCCAGGCACGGCCAACACAGCTCTCTCTGGTTGGAAACTTTCTCTCTAGCCTCCATTCTTTGGCCCATTCAATCCATTTGACAGATCTGACAGATCTGACAGACCTCATAGTATTGTTTTTTGTCTTCTTGCTTCTTTTAGACACTAAGCCCCTTGAAGGCAGGGTTCTGGTCTTATTTATCTTTGGCATCAGTAAATACTGACGGACTATATTAATTCATTCTCTAGTCTTTCAATACATATAATTGAATTAACAATTACATGAAAGAAAATGGATCCTCCATTACAAGCCTTCCGAAATGGAAAAAGTGATGATGATGATAGAGTGGACAATGTCGATAATGTCATGTCCTTTACACACACAATGAGACCTGTGTCTTGAGTTTCTTTCTGGAGTGGGCTTCCCTGTGCCCTCCTTGCACATCCTCCTTTATAAACAAGTCATTGTTAGTCATACCTGCCCTGGGTGGCTGTAATTGTGATCGTGAATTTTCTTCAAGAGAAGGCAACTCTGTTTTATTCTACAAAAGTGGCTCTCAAATGTGCCTGGCTTCCTGCCTCTATGTACCCCAGAACCCATAGCTGGGGCCCCTGGACACCAGGACTGGTCATGGAAATGAGCAGACCCGGGGATCCCTAGCCAAAGGACTGAGTACGATGGCAGCCTCTACCTGTTCTGCTCTGCCCATAATAGGTCCTGCGTTAGTGCTCTGCCTAGTAGACCCATTACTCTGCTCTGGACCTGCCTAGGGTTGTATGGTTGAACTGCAGTCCCCGCTCTCTGAATCCTGGCCTCTGGACGTCTCTGAGGCCGACTGTCTACCTAACAGACCTCACCTAATGTCTGCTCTACACTTCCCAAGAGTCATTGATAGTCTCCCATAGACCAGGGAGTCCTTCCCTAGTCTCTGCCTGAGTCCGGAGACCCTAAGGGGCCCAAAGGCACAAGAGAGCCCAAAACTTGACCCAACAGGCCTACCTCCTCCAGGGTGTGGTAAGAGGAGTAACTGAAGCTGCTGGTGCTGCGCTCCAGCCGGCGGGACTTCGCCATGGTCGCTCTCTCCTCATCCAGCAGCACCTAGGAGACAGGGGACACACGCTGGGGGGGAAGGGGTGGGCTGCGCTGGCTGTGCCTCTTCTGAGCCCTGCCTCAGCAGGCTGTGCGTAAAGACAGTGGTGACCCAGGAGAATGAGCCACCATGAATGTGAGTGGCAGAACAGGAGGACATGCCAGGTTGCTGGGTGACTCTTCTGCCTGGCAAGCTGGCATTCATGCCACCATTTCTCAAATGAGCATAAGGAAAGGAGTTCAGAGAGCTGAATTCTGAGTCTGCCTCTGCCACTAACTTGCTGCGGCCTTAGTTTTCTCAGCTTAAAACTTGGGTCAGAAATATCTGCCTTGCCACCTCATAGGAGAAAACATACTATTAAATATAAAGGTGTTTTGGGAAAAGGTGCTCACAGTCTACTGCGACATTTCTTTTGCACTTTATGAACACTCTGTTGAGTCAGAACCCAAGATGATTCATGCACGCTGTCCCCCTGGAGGGAAGAGAAGGCTCCTCTAGCCCCCAATATTGACGCTACTCCCAGGAAGCAGCCTAGACAACTGGTATGCAAGTCATTTGGAAAGCCAGGTATGGCCAAAGCCATAATAATCATAATAATAATTATTATTAATGTGCCAACGGTCTTTCAGGCACCATAGTAACTGCCTCCTAAACACAAGTATAGGTGAGCCAAAAGCAATGTCCTTGGGTATCAATTTGGAGTTGGCGCTCAATCCTCACATGGTCCTTCCCCTGACCATAGAGAGGGCAGTTAGGGTCTGGTGGGTCACCCACTCACTGCTCAGACCACCCACATCATCCTGGGGCATTTTTCCCAGCTCAGGTCACAGTGAGATAGGCAGGTTCCCTTCACCCAAGCTCATGCCCTTGTATTGGCACCCAGGGGTAAGGCTTCCCAGGATCCAGCACTGACTGCCCAGGACGGATGCCAAGAAAGCGTCTTCATCAACCCAAATTGCCCCTTGTTTGCAGCTCTGGGTCACAAGTCAGGCTTTACCATAGCTTATTTTGGGCTAGGGCCTTTATTTACCAAGCAATTTTACCCTCATTGTCTTACTTGATCTGGTCGGATCACCTGATAATAGAGCAGGAATTATAATAACTATGTGTCCTAGAGATAAAGCAGATTGGAGAGTTGAGGGTGCTTAACGGCAAAGCTAACAAGAGGCAGATGTGAGATAAGAATCAGATATCCTGGTCCCTAGCCTGAGGTTCCTTAGGTTAGCTATCAGAACTAAATGCCAGCAATGAAAACGTACATACATAGCCACGTGTACCTATGTGTGTGAGTGTATGTGTGTGGACAGAGTGTGCAAAGGTGCAAAATGTTAACGACAGCTAAAAAGTGCATCATATTATTTTTGCAGTTAAAAAGTCTATCACAGGCCGGGCGTGGTGCTTCACGTCTATAATCCTAGCTCTCTGGGAGGCCGAGGCAGGTGGATCGTTTGAGCTCAGGAGTTCGAGACCAGCCTGAGCAAGAGCGAGACCCCGTCTCTACTAAAAATACAAAGAAATTATCTGGACAACTAAATATATAGAAAAAATTAGCCGGGTATGGTGGCACGTGCCTGTAGTCCCAGCTACTCGGGAGGCTGAGGCAGGAGGATTGCTTGAGCCCAGGAGTTTGAGGTTGCTGTGAGCTAGGCTGACGCCACGGCACTCACTCTAGCCCTGGCAACAGAGTGAGACTCTGTCTCAAAAAAAAAAAAAAAAAGTTTATCACAATAATGAAAAATGAAGGACTCCTCCCCAGCATAGGAACACAAGACACTCAAAGGTCAGAAATATATACTTAAATGCTAACAACGCCTGTTAGGATCGAAGGATTAGGATTTTGAGTATATTTTTTTTCTTTTCCTTATTTTTACATTTTGGCAATGTGCTTATACTACTTCAATAAGTAAGAGCTTTTAAATGAATAAATAATAACAAAACCAAAAGCCCTAATGGCTAATGCTGTCTTCTATCCCAGGCGCCCCACCCCACCCCACCCCACCTGCTATGATGAGGCCTGCCTGGTGACTCTGTCAGGCCTGATCAGCTTGCTCACAGCTCTCAAGTTCATAGATTGCAAATGGGACTGTGAATCAATGTTTGGGGCTCATTTTATTTCATGTTTGAGCACTGACAAGATGTGAGACATTACAGTTGCAATGTTTTCTAGCTGAACTGGCCCGGCTGGGGACATTCCCACTTGGGCAGAGCTGGGATTGCCGGTTAAGTTAGATACGGCTGGGGGAGCCCGGAGCCTCTCTGGCCACTCACAAACACCCCTGGGAAGCTCTAACAAAAGGAATTTGTCTCCTTCCCAGGAAACTGACCCAAATCTCAGCAGACCCCCATGACCAATGCTTGCTGGCCACTTGGGTCCGGAGCTGCCAGCTGCGGTGAACAGCTGCAAGGAAGACGGGCCGGGCCAGCCTGAGAACGCAGGGAAAGCGTCTCGAGGGTCTGGGGGGGCCTGCATGGGGGTGGAGGACAGGGAGGTGAAATGGGAAAGAAAGGACAGAGGGCCCGGTTCCTCCCACGCAGCCCCAGCACACCCACAGGAAGACAGCTCCCTCCAGACTGTCCTTTGTTCCACAAAATAGCTTGGAGGCAAATGGTGAGTCTGCACCAAACTGCAAACAACTTTCCTGACACCCTCACAGCCTTGCGAATGGATGTGACACCCTCTCACAAATCGGGAATGCTCGGCCCTCACAGCTGGGTCCCAATTCCAGGAACACGAATCTGCCCTGGCCTGAAAAATGGACAGGCTCGCGGCTTCCCGGGGTTGCGGGAAGGGGACCGGCCACGGAGAATGCGGTCTGCCGCAGGCTCGGGAAGGCCTGATGACGGTCCTGTGGGGCTTCTCAGGAGAGAAGACAAAACAAAACAAAGAAACAAGGAACTCAGAAGTAAGCCATTTGCTTCCCTGGAAGCGGTAACCCGACAGGGCAAGTAATACCTTGGTGCGAATTAATTTATGATGGACGGACGGGGCCCCTCGGGCGGGGAGGGGGAGGCCGCAGGGGAGCAGGGCCTCCCGGCAGCTGAGCCCCAGCCACGGGCACCAGGTGGGCGCAGCTCGGGGCCGGAGGGGCTGGGGAGCCCTGAGACCTTCTCTCGCAGGCCTGACGGCTGCAGGAGCAGCTGCAGTCCCGGATCCGATGCTGCGGCAATGGACGCCCTCCGAGGTCGCGGCTGACCACGGGGCTTCGCTGCCCAAAGGGCAGAGTTAAAACACCACACGAACACCAGTGACGACCGCAGGGCAGAGCGGCGAGCCAGTTCGGGAGCCAGACTGTTTCAGATTAAACCCCGATGCTGTTACTGACACGGGCAAACTACCAACTTCTCCATGCCTCGGTTTCCCCTTCACAAAAGGAGGGCTCATGTCATCACATACTTTAGCACATACTTTAAAGTGTTCTCATGACGATCAGAATGGGTAACACATGCTAAGTGCTTAGAACATCGCCTGGCACGTAGTAAATGCTGGTAAATGTTAGCTATGACGAGGATGACGAGGGACGAAGAGGGGACCATAATAACCCTTGGGGTGACTCCAGGGCTCTGCAATGGGTCACTATAAGGCATGGCCAGAAAATAAGGATTCCTCCAGAGGGAAGATGGCATCTTGGGGCTTGGACCACAGATCCCCATTCATGGTCATCTGAGCGAGTCACTAGCACCCACCCTTCGTGTGGCCCCAGAGGGGCCTGGGTCCCCTTGTGTCCCTGCCCTGTGATGCAGCCAGGCTCTGCCCCTCCCATTACCTCACTCATGGCTGCTCCTGTCCTTCTTGCCTTCCCTGCAGTCTCCCCTGCGGACCTCCTCTCCTCTCTAGGCCACCCACCCCCACACTGGCCACAGCCCTTCCACCTTTGAGACTTTGCCGTTCAGCCAGCAAGTGTTTGTTGAGCACACGCTATTTGCTGGGCACTGAAGATGTGGCAGCCAACAAAACAACACTGTCTGCCCTCGCGGAGCTTATAGTCTAGTGGGGGAGACAGATACGTGGTGAGAAGAAGAGCGGAGGAGGGTGGGGAGAGAAGGAGTTGGGGAAGTAGGGGAGAAGAGGGCACAATTTAAAATAAGATAAGAAGGTGACATGGGAGCAAGTCCTGAAAGCAGGGAGGGAATAAGCCATGCAGCTGTCTGCAGGAACAGCATTCCAGGTATAGGGACCAGCAGGTGCAAAGACCCTGAGGTATGAGTATAGCCAAGGGCCCTGAGGCAGGAATGGGGCAGGAAGCACAAGAAATATCAAGGAGGTCCCTGTGTGACTCAGAGTGAGCAAGGGGAGAATAGTCAGTAACGCGGGACAGGGAGGCGTGACTGCTATGTCATAGAGCTCCCAAAACCCTCACAAGGGCCTTGACTCTTACGTGGAGTGAGCTGGGAAGCCATTGGAGGGTGTTAAGCGGAGGAGTGACCCCATCAGACGTGCATATTTTTAAAGGGCCCCTCTGGCTGCTGTTTTGAGACCGGGCAATAAGGAGGCAAGGGTGGAATTGGGGAGAAGAGCTAGAAAGCAACTGGAATAATCCAGGTGAGGGATGATGGTGCCTCGGCCCAGGGGGTGGTGTGGGATGTACGGAAATATATTTTGAAGGCAGTGCCCGCGGGATTTGCTGATGGATTGGACGTGGGTGTGAGAAAGGAGTCAAGAATGACTCCAAGCGTGTTGTCTGAGTGACTGGAAAGATGGTGCTGCCCTTCCTGAGCCGGGGAAGGCTGCAGAGGAGCAGAGGGAGGCCCAGGGAGCTTGGTGTGGACCTGGAAAGTTCGAGATGCCCGCTGGACACACAGGTGGAAATACTGAGTAGGCCGTTGGATGCAGGAGTCTAGAGTTCAGGAGAGAGGTACAGCTGGAGACATAACATGGGAGGCATCAGGAGACAGAAGATATTTAACACTGTGATCCCAGATGAGGGGAGGGAGGAGCGGTCCAAGGATGGAGCTGGAAACAGGAAAACAACTGGCAAAAGAGCGGCCAGCGAGCTGGGATAGCCCCGGAGAGCGCAGGGTCTGGGAAGCGGAGACAGGAGACACCTCCAGGGAGGAGAGAGTGACCAGTGTGCTGACGGAAGATGAACACTGGGAGGTGACCACGGGGCTGGACCTAGGAGCTGCGTGTGCCACTGCCGAGGGCAGCTCTGGTGAAGTGAGGGGGACATTCTGCCAGGGCAAAGGGATGGGGATGGCACGTAGAGTCAGGATCTCCAGAAGTGTTGCTCTAGCAGACAAATGGGGTGATGGATGGGGGCTGGGGAGAAGGGATCAAGAGAGGACTTTTTCAGATGGGAGAAATGACCCTCCATTTGTATGCTGATGGGGATGACCCACTAGAGAGAGGGAAATTGGTGAAGCAATAGTTACACTCAATTGGATTCCGCTCTAGATGGTCAGAGCATGGGTGAATTTTGTTTTCTTCTTCTACTTTCCCCTATTTTCCAAATTATCTAACATGAATATTTATTAATTTTGTAATCAGAAAAAAGCCATTAAAATCCACCGAGCTGATTGCTCAAGTGAAGCTTTTCCATGGTGACTCATCCCAGGGAAAAAAAAAAAACCACCACCAAAGGGCTGCAGAGAGCGAGGAGGTGAAGAAAAATTAAATGCAAATGGAGCTCACTCAGAATCAGATAATTTCTTGCCTGGCCCACTGCAATTTCCTCACCGCCCTCCTGCCTGTCAGTCTCCCTGGCCCTGGCCCCAACTCAACACTGTCACTGTCAGAGTGGCTTTTCTTCAGTGCAAATCTGATCGTGCCGAAGCCCCTCTTATGGCTCCCCCATGGTTTTCAGGTTAAATTCCGACCTCTTCACATGGCAGAGGATGCCCTTTGCGATGGGGTCCGGCCTCATCACCAATCGGGGTGGGGGCCCCGTTCCCTGGCCAGCCCCCCTCGCTGCTCTTCAGCGCACCGTAATTACCGCCTTCTCAGAAGCGGAGCGGGCCCCTTGTGTGCGCTCCCATAGCAACCGCCCTCTCTCCACCAGCGCTCATCCACTCCATTGTAATCACCGCTTTTCTCCCTCCGCCCCTCCCCCATGCCTCTCCAGCTCCCCTGGATATAGAGCCCAGATTTTTCATCTTCGTGCTCCCAGCACCTCGCCAGAGGCTCAGCACGCAGTAGGGATCTCTGTGTCTGTGGCTGGAATGAGTGGCCCCACGGCCTCTTTCTCAAGCATCCCTAGGGGCACAAGCCAGGTGGAAGAGGATGCACTGCCCTTCCTCAAAAATCTCTCTCCCCCCTGGCCAAAGTGAAAACCAGCACTGAGGTTTTTCCAGCCCCCCTTGCAGCCTGGTCCTAGCCTCCAAACGCAGCTCTCCTCTATCGTTTCCTCCTCTCATCCATCAATTCAAAACGGACACTTACTAAGCCCCCGTTAACAGCAGGTCCTACGGTGGGTGCTGGGGTTGCAGACAGACAAGAGCGTGGAACTGAACTTGAGGGTGGAGGGGAGGGAACCAGGGAGACAAAGGCCAACACATTAACAGGGTCTCTCTCCAGACACTCTTTTCCCCCATGGCCCCGAGAGTCATTCATTCAGCAGACAACTGTTGAGGGCCCACCTTGCAGGGGATGCTGTACCCAGTACTGGGGCTAAGAAGGTCCAGCGGATGGGGAGGAAATCAGGCCTGTGTGTCGTCTCTGACACAGAAGACTGGAGGCCCAAGGCCCAGTGGTGCAAAGCCCTTCCCATCCTGTTAGTGCCTCTGGGCTTTCCTCCTTCCGCAGGGACCCCTCCTCCACCACTGCCACAAATCAACTCGACACAAAGGCCTCCCCCGCCCTCAGCCCCCTCTAAGCCAAAATGTGATCTCAAGCATGGCAGTCAGAGCTTGATGTGTTGCAGACAGAGCGAGTTGTTGCTGAAAATCCTGCTTGGCTGGGTTAGGGCCAAGAGTTCAGGGCATTTTCCCGAGAGGGAGTACAAAGCCTCAGAGGGTCCTGGGGCTGGGGACGTCAGGAGAGGACAGGCAGGGAAGAATGCAGCCGAGGCTCCAGAGGAGCCAGTGGGGGAGGCTCAGAGGTGACTCTGGGGCCGTCCCTGATGTGCAGAAATCAGCGGAAAGTTTGTAGAGACCTCTGCATATCTGTTTGCCAAATGCTCCAGGGTTCCCAGGGTGGGGCAGGAGCAGGGAAATGCAAACTTCAAAATATAGGCCTGGGCTAAAAATGAGAATTAAGTTCTATTTCTTTTGATGTGGTAGCCTCTCTAGTCTGTGGGAGTTTCCCTATTTTTGTTTATGGGGGATTTAGAGAACTATCCCACCCCCACATGTTGAGCGGGAAACAGATGTGCCTGATGGGGGATAAAGGTCTTTGCAGGGACCGGAGTGCCCCGGCCGTGCTCGCATGGGAAAGGAATGCTGCCTAATACACTGATCCCTTGGCATGCGGTGTCAGTGTGTGCGCTCCAGGAGACTCTGTTCCCACACTGGAGCCCTTAGAGGAGATTAGTGGTGTACAAAATGGTTGGGAATGAATCTATATGGACACATTTCCACAGGTACAGAGCCAGCGACAGCACTGGCGGAAGGATGCAGCCAGGAAGCCTTAACTCATGAACGGTACCCAAAAGAACCTTTAGGAAGGAGGCGGTGCTGCCAGTGCCTTTCAGAGGCTGTCTAGGCTATCCCCGAAGACAGAACAACTGAAACAGAATATCATGATGCTCAGAAAAGACACAGGGAGAGAGTACAAGGAGGCTGGGGTGCCCGGGATAAAGGCCACCTTTGCCTTTCCTGAGGGCAGATCTGCAGCCGCTTCTCCCAGAGCTGTTCCTCTGTGGGGAAGCTGCCTAGGGGAGACACCCTGTGCAGAGAGCCCTTCAGAGGGGGCCGGGGGTAGGGGATGCACACTGGGACTCACACGTGGCTTTTGTCACCATTTCCCGATTCCCTGGAGTAAGGAGTCCCCCCAGATGTTGCATTGCTGAGACACGACAGGACAGGAAGCAGTGGTCAGAAAAGCCAAGGCCATCCCGAGCTGCCCCCCAGTGTAACTAGGAGAGGCCTGAGCTGTCCCCTCCCATCTCTGTCCTCCCCATCTCCTCCTTCATGTCAGCTGCGAGCCCCTGCACAAGAGGAAGGGCTCGTCCCCACGAGGCCTTACCATTACCGCCCGCATTCTGAGCGCTTTCCCCCTATGAACTTTGTCCTAGGTTTAAGTTTTCTTTGAGAAGTGTGAGGTTTAACTCCTTCCACGGCATGCTCCCAAGCACACAGACGGAGATCCAGAAACAACATCTCTGCTCTTAGCCCTGAATGTTTATCCTCCGGGTGGGACCCAACCAGAAAGGAATGTGGGAGATGAGACCCCAGCGGGGCAAGACCTCACCTGGATGTCCTTTATCATGATGCTGTAGGCCAGGCCATGAGACTCCAGATAAGCTTTGATGTCTTTCAGTTCAGAGAAAGGAACTCTCATATCCACGGGGAGGCTGGGCCTGGCTGGGGCACGCCAGAAGTCCACCTTGTTCACAAAGGAAAGAAAAAACCGGTGCATTTATTACATCTCCTTATACACAATCCTTTAGGCACCCCAAGAGCCTTGGAGATAATCTGTTAGACAGTAGTTCCCCTTTATCCGCGGGGGCTACACTCCAAGACCTCCAGTGGGTGTCTGAAAAGGCAGATAGTACCAAACCTTATATAGACTTTTTCCTATACAAATAGACCTATGATCAAGCTTAATTCATAAATTAGGCACAGTAAGAGATTAATAACAATAATAAAATAGAGCAATTATAACAATATACCAGCATCACTACTCTTGCACTTTGGGGCCACTATTAAGTCAAATAAAGATCTGGAAGACAAGCACTACAATAGCGTGACAGCCAATCTGATAACCGAGATGGTGACTAAGTGACTAGCAGGGGGGGAGCGTGATCAGGGCAGAGACATGAGATTTCATCACGCTACCAGAAGAGCACACGATTTAAAACTTATGAATTATTTGTTTCTTCTGGAACTTTCCACTTAATGTTTTCAGACCACAGTTGATTGAGGATAAGGGAGACTGCTGTACACTTAAGAGGGCCCCAGTTCCATAACAAAAACCCTAAGGCTGAGCAGAAAGACCAGGGCAAACACACAAAATCCCAAGTCACTAAGTTTCTTTCCCTAATTTTGAGCACCCTTGTTTCCCTACACATCTGTTTCCCAAGTGAACGGGCTTAGCCTGGCAAACCTGTCACTCACACACGTCACAATTTGGCTTGGATCCAAGAGCCCTAAAGAGTTCTACAGGTGAGACTGAGCATCATCCGGGACATTCACATGGACAAGAACCCTGGCCAGGACAGAGGGACATCCTTGCTCCCAAGCCCTGGAGAAGTTGGAAAGGCTGAATCTGGCCCCCCTGTCAGCCCTTGGCTACGTCTACTTCTCAATTTGTAAAACAGAATTAGCAAAAAGTGTTAAGAGCAGCAAGTAGGAGGAAGTGCTTCAGGCCACGTCCAGAAATATCTGGTTGTTTCCACAGCCCTCAAACAAAACCCTCCTATTATAATAGTCGAAGAAAATGTTTTCCATTGTGAAAACTTGCAGAGGACAAGCGTTCTCGGAAACAGCGCTCGGGCTGACAGGGACGAACCCAAACGAAACACAGGTTTGCCAGGCTAAGCCCGTTCACTTGAGAAGCAGATGTGTCCAGCCTCCGTGCTACATGGTGTCCCTCCCAGAACATCTGTGCCTCCCGTGTGGCTTTTGGAAATTCCAGCCATTTGCAGAGAGGCTCCCTGACAGAGCTCTCTCAGCAGGGACAGAGGGGATGGCTGAAGGAGCTGCAGCCTGAAAAGGCGCCACAATCTTCTGGGCAAGTGTCCCTAGTTTTTCCTGAAGAGGAGCCACGTTTTATTTTTCCACAGTTTTGTGCTCTTTGGCAGAGACATCAGGAGGGCAGGTTTGGGTGGGGGAAGCAGGATAGGGAGCTGAGGTGTGAGCCCCTGGGGGTGTTCCCCGCACCCCGAGAAGTCCTCACCTTTTGGGGCTTCAGGCCCTCCAGATCCCTGAGAAGTGAGAGCTGCTTCTCATCCTTGGCCAGAACTCGAAGAACCTGGTCTCTGGAAAAACATGGCGAGGGGTGGAGAAAGCTGCAGGGAGGATTCCTGGAAGGCTGTGTCCCTTGGAAGAGGCAGAGTGGAGAAGAGGCCGGGCTGAGGGGACCTGGCAGGAGGCTGGAGGAGCCCTGAGCAGGAAGGACTTGTGCACAGCTCTGAGGAGCTCACGGTCCCTCAGCCTCGAGCCATGGGCTCTCCAGGGCCAAGGACAGACCCCCCAGGGGACTAAATAAAGCCCATCCACGCTACTGATGGACAGAGAGCCAAGACAGGAAAAGAAGGAAGGAAAAGGAATATGGCGTGCAGTGTGTGTGTGTGTGTGTGTGTGTGTGTGTGTGTGTGTGTGTGTAGAACACAAGGAATGAAGAGGAGAAAGGAATAGATTCAGGGGGCTGAGGGGACCAATGGGGGACACGGTCTGTCCAAACCCCATGGAAGGGGAGATCAGATAACGTCACCCCATCTTATATGGGGGAAGCTGAGCTCCTTCCCTTCCCAGTGGCGGTTGGGAGGGAGGCAGCTGGCGCTGTGAGCTCTGAGGTCTGACGCCTGGGATGGTGTTGGCTCCCTGGCCGCTCTGAGACTGTGGGCAGGGAACGCCCTCTCTAGGCTCTTCCCCACTGTGCAGATATGATGAAATAGCTACCTTTTTTTTTTTTTTTTTTTTTTTTTTTTGAGACAGTCTCACTGTGTTGCCCGGGCTACAGTGCCGTGGCGTCATCCTTGCTCACAGCAACCTCAAACTCCTGGGCTCAAGCGATCCTCCTGCCTCAGCCTCCCGAGTAGCTGGGACTACAGGCATGCGCCACCATGCCCGGCTCTATATATTTTTAGTTGTCCAATTAATTTCTTTCTAATTTTAGTAGAGACGGGGTCTCGCTCTTGCTCAGGCTGGTTTCGAACTCCTGAGCTCGAACAGTCCACCCGCCTTGGCCTCCCAGAGAGCTAGGATTACAGGGGAATAGCTACCTTCTGAGGTCTTTGGGAGGCTCACAAATCATGTCAGTAGAGGCCTGGAGTACAATGCTAGAACTTACTGTTACTCAAAGGAGGACAACACCACACCCATTTCGGGTAGGGGCACACCATCTTTTGGGCGTTATTAACTGCTCTGAGAATCTGAGGAAAGCTATGAACTTTTCACCCCCAAAGGAGAACATATGCATATGAAAACTCTTACATGTGATTTCAGGGGATTCTTGGAGCCCCGAAAGCTTACCCCTGGACTCCAGGGTAAGAACTCTGGGCTTGGGGAGGAGCAGCAGCACAGCTGAGCGGCCTGGCCTGGAGCACGAGAATGAGAGGCCCCAGCAGGACGGCCACCCACCTGGACACTGGGTGCCCTAGCTCCCGCCAGTCCTCCCTCCTCCTGCGGAGCAGTCACTCACCCTGTGAAATTCATTTGGCCCAAAGCTGCTGCCAGGATAAAGCTGAAGACCAGGAGCATCTGCCTGTCCAGAGAGGACAGCCCAGAGCATGTCCCTCCACCAGGGGTGCCCTGCATGCTTCTTCTTCCAGGCATACTTCAAGGGCTCTCCTTGTGCACAGGCATGGCCCAGGGCTCAGGACAGCGCAGCATCTAGAGGCCGGCAGGCCCGGCCTGAGAAGGGGCGTTAGGCTCTCTGGGGAGACCCCACATGTGTCTGCCACATGAGGGGAACTAGGGCTGCCCCTCCCCCCACCCAGACAGAGCCTCCCCTGGGAAGGGGCAGGGGAAGGGAGAAAGAGGAAGACCAGGCCCTTGGCTTTTCTTCCTCTCCAGAGGGTTGCTAGGTCAGCCTCTTGTGAGCATGAAATCCTCCATCTCAGGAGAAAGACGAGAGTAAACAGTGGCCCAAGGATGCCACTCCTTTCCTCCCTCCTCTGTGAACTCTTCTCTTTTGCTCTCCTTCTCCCTCCCAACCCATTCGTGCTTTCCTTGGCCCACGTCCTCCTTACACATAGGGCGTGGACGTCATTGAAAGACTACTAGGCTTACAGGCAGAGCTGGGGCAACCGACCTAACCTCTCTAAATGTCACTGTCCTCATTAGTGCAATGGGGTTCGTACCTTCCCTCCCTACCTCACAGGGTTTTGGGGGATATTAGATGAGACAGCCTGGGTGAATTGGCTTGCCAAAGCCTGCCAAACAGAGTGTATTATTATTTCAAAGGTATTAGCTCTTAGTCACAGCTGCATCTTAGCTCAGTTGCAATGGGCAAAAAAGGAAGAGAAGAGAATGGAGAGCAGAACAAAGGAAATCTCTATGGCACGAGAAGGAACTCAGTCAAGAGTCCCTTTTCTCTATCTTCAGGTGGTCGCCATTATGCCGGGACAGGCAGTTAGTTCGTTTGCTGCTAGACATGGAGGTCACGGCAGTCCTTATTATAGCTCTCAACAGACAGCAGAGTCAATTCCTCAGTCCTGCCAAAGCCCCGCGCAGTCCCCTTTATGGTCTGGGGGTGGGAGGCATACAGCAGAGCCAGCACACAGAGCAGTCATATTGGAAGGGAAAGTGAAAGATGATGCCTGCATGGTAAATGATGGATCTAACAGGAAACCCACAGGAGGTGGGGGAGGCAGAGACTCAATCCAACAAAGTTGTTCAGCAGAGGATGTCCACAAAAGGCCACTTAGCTGTCACCAGCGATTCTCAGAAGCCCCCCTCCCCATCCATACTTTCCCAGAATGGCCAATTAATTGGCCATGTGTGCAGAGAGGGGAGCTCTTTTATTGACAGCGCGCCCTGCTCCCCTGCCTGCCTGCCCTACCCCATTATTTCATGGTCCAGCTGCTCAGACATGCCCAACTCTCCTAGAACCCTGGCTCTGGGAACTCTCAGACAGTGACATTAGCAAAGGGTTTAAGGACCTAGAAAAGAAAGCAATTATGCTTTCCACCCAAGTAACATTCCGCTTCAGTAGCACCGGGAATAAGAGACCGTAAACAAAAGCTCAGGAATTTAAAGAAAAAAGTGGGGGTCATGCTAGTCACCAAAAGTACCCAGCATCTTCTTGTTCAAAAGCATCATTTTAAGTCACTAATAAGACCACTATCCCTGCACTTGGTTTGGGGAAGGTAGGGGAGGAGAGAGAGAGAGTGAGAGCGAAAGAAAGAGAGAGAGAGAAAGAGAGGAGCAGTTAGGAATTCTTGAGAATTCTATGGCCGCACTTCCAACGGAACTTTCTGTGATAATGGGAATGTTCTCTGTCTGCACTGTCCAATAGGGTAGCACTAGCCACTTGAAATGTGGCTAGTGAGACTGAGAAAGTGAATGTTGGATTTTATTTAATTTTAATTAATTTAAATACAATGTAAATAGGCACATGCAGCTACCATATCAAGCTGCAGAGTTCTATGGGAATTCACCAACCCCAAAAGCATCATCTCCAAAGGCCAAATTTGAAGCAGAGACACAGAGCTCTGTTTGACCTAATACCCGGTGTTGGCTTCTCATCCATAATTCATTACTCATCTAATCCTTTACTCAATAAATGTATACTGAATAGCTACTATGTGTCAGGCCACTTGCTAAGGTCTGGAAGTAAAACAGAGAGCAACATATACCTGGTCCTTACATTTCTAATGGGGTAAGTAGACGATTTATTTAAAAAGCATACAGATAAATGGTGACTTCATAGTGCAAGGGTAGTATGTCTGCCCTCAGATAAATGTAATAGTATAGTTTGTGTATATGCCATAAGAGGAGGGTACATTGTACCTTGAGGACAAGTAACATGAACTCCACATAGGCTGAAGGAGGGTTTCCCTAAAGAAATTTTGTTGGAGGACTTTTATTACCTGCAGGTGTATGGATTCCAAACCTAAACAATCCTGCCTAAATGAAAGGACTCAAATGAGAATAAAAAATATTTTTAAAGCAACTCTTTTTTTAGAGACAGGGTCTCACTATGTTGCCCAGGCTGGTTTTGAACTCCTGGCCTCAAGTGATCCTCCCCCCTTAGCCTCCCAAAGTGCTGGGATTACAGGTATGAGCCACCATGCCCGGCCTAATAACAACTTTTTAAATGCATCGCTGGTTTGGCACAAAAGGAAAAATCCAGATCCTGGAAAGAAGAAAAAGCCAGACAGACCCCCAAAAGGTAAGCCAACTTCCTCCCCCACAAAACAAGGATTTCTCAGAACGCTGGAGCTCTTGATCTTCTTCCTAGAAGCATACACCTTGTATCTAAGATCATTTTCCTTCTGCTTCAAATCCATCTTTTCAGATTTACCTTTATCAAAGATCTCTATTTTTATTTACTTGAAAGTTCTTTATTTTGCTCTCCTTTTTGAAAGAGTCTTACTGGGTATAAATGCTTGGTTGATTATTGCTTTTCTCTCGGCACATTGAAAATATTATCCCACAGTCTTCTGGCTTTGATTTTTGCTGTTAAAAGGTAATCAGTTAGTCTACTTATTGCTCATTAGTTGGTGATGTTTTCTTACTCCTGGCTGCTTTGCAGATCTTCTCTTTGCCTGTGATATTCTGCAGTTTTATCATGTATTCTTTAGACACACCATGATATGACTAGGTGTAGGTTTCTTTTGTTTTGTCCTGCCTGAGAATTATTTGAATGCCTGCATCTGGGTATTGCTCTCTTGCCACTATTTTCAAAATTTCTCAGCCATTATATTCTTAAACATTGCTTCTTCTCTACTCTATTTCCTTCATCTGGAACTTTTTGGTTTTTTTTTTTGAAACAAGGTCTCGCTGTGTCATCTGGGCCAGAGTGCGGTGGCATCATCATATCTCACAGCAACCTCGAACTCCTGGGCTCAAGCCATCCTCCTGCCTCAGCCTCCCCAGTAGCTGGGACTACAGGCGTGTACCACCATGCTTGCCTAATTGGAACTTTTGATTAGATAGATACTAGGCCTTCTCATTCCATCCTCCAAGACTCTTAACCCTTCTGTTATATTTCCATTTCATTGTTTCTCTACATTCTGGACAATTTATTTGTGTCAAATATTTGTTCCTTTATTCCAGTTAACTGATTCTCTCCTCAGATTGCAAATTTAATCTGCAATTTAATCGACCTGCTAAATTGTACATTTCAATTGCTACAGTTCATCAATTCTGAAACAATTTTTTCCTCACATTTTAACACCTCTGAAGTCAGGATGCATCTTACAATCAGTGGCATCTTGCAATGATAGTTGGCAGTGTTTTTGATGTCACATAAAATTAGGGTGCATCTTGTAATCAATCTTGTTTTATAGTCAACACAATATGGTATTCATTTTTCATTTTTAGAAGTTCTATTTGATTCTTCTATTTGACTCGAGCCCAAATGACTTGAATTTCTCATCTATTTTAGAACTTCTCAGTCATTTCTTTAAACTTATAAAACATAGTTATTTTAATATTCTCCGTCAGATAATGACAGTATCTAAAGACTTTGTAAGTCTGTTTGTGCTGTGTTTTGTTTCTGCTGGTTCTCACTCATGGTGCGTTTTCCTGTGTTTATCTGTGAGGCAACCCCTTTCTTTGAACATTTATCTGTGGAAATCCTTTGAGGCCTGGGGATTGAAGACAGTTCCTCCAAAGAGGATTTGCATTTACTTCTCCGAGTTGCCTGGAGGGCACTACCAATGTAAGACTACTCTAAATTAAATTATTTGTTTAAAAATTTTTTTTTTTTGGACTGCATAGTTAGCATAAATCTAGACCACAAACTCATGTGGGGGCTTACTTGTGGTTGCGAAATCTCAGAGGATATTTTTCTCAGGATCATCTAACACCAAGGTTTTAAGTCCTGGCAATGATAACATATTATTTGTAAGTGGGAAATCAGAGTTAAAGTGTTTTAAGATCCTGGAATTGTTGGTAGGAAGGATAGATATTGCAGATTTTTTAGACGTTGGTAAGTATGCATGGTCAAATAGCTAGAGCAACAACTAAAAGAAAAGGCACAGAGCATATGATAAGTAGAAAGGGTAAAAATGGAAGGAGAAGAAAGGGAGAAAATAAAACAAAAAAGATGAAAAAGAAAGGTTAAAAAAAGGAATTTTTAAAAGTGGAACAAATTGGAAGGACATAAAAATAAGAAGCTTACCTAAATATAGTTGCAATAATACTGAACGTAAATAGATTTAACTCTTTAGCAAAAGACAAAAATAACCAAAATAAATTTTTCTAAAACCCAGCTATATGTATTCACAAGAGATACTCTGAAAACGTAAGAACAAAGAGAAACTAACAGTCAAGGATGGAAAAAAGGTATTCCAGGTAAATACTTATAAAAGAAAGCAACTATAGTTTTATTAATGTAAGATAAAATAAACTTTAAGGCAAAAGGCATTATTTAAAATAAGAGGATCACTATCTAAAGATACATTTAATTTTCCAAGAATATTTAACATATAAAAATACCCAGAAATAATTCTAACAAATGTGCAATCCTTCCTGGAAACAATTATAAAACTTCACTGGAAAATGCTAAAGTTCTAAACAAATCCAATAATATGCTGTACTCTTGGATAAGAAAACTCAATGTCATAAAATTATTCATTTTCCCCAGATAGATCCAGAGATTCAATGTAATTTCAACCAAAAGCCCAGCAGTTCTACAAAACTTCACAAGCTCACAAAAAATGTATGTGAAAAAACAAAGATCCTAAGAAGAGGCAAGACAGTCCAGAAGAAGATCAAGGTGGGAGAACTTTATATACCAGACATTAAAACGTATGATAAAGCTATAGTTATTGAGACAATGTGATATTGGCACAGATAGGCAAATGGAACATAGCATAGAAACAAACCCAAGCATATTTGGAAACTTCATTTTTTTGTAGACTTGGCACAGCAGATCAATGTGGAACAGGCAGACTATTCAATAAGCGTTGCTGGGAAAATTATAGATCTATACGGGAAAATTAAATTCAATTCCTATCACACCACCTTCAAAAATCAATCCCATGTAGATTAAAATTCTTAAATGTAAAAGGCAAAACTCTAACATGCTTAGAAGATAATATAGAAGATATTTTTATGACATTAGGGTAGGGAATAGTTTTTCTAAACAAGATAAAAAAAGGCCAAAAAAAAAAACCCATAAAAATTACCATAAAGGAAAAGATGGATAAAAATCTACTACATTAAAATTAAGATCTTCTGATCCATCAATCAGCTTAAGAAGATAAATATAACATTACCAGAGCAGAAAATCAAAATCTTCTTAAGATTTTGACTCATAATAGAAAGCTGACCTCAAACTGAGAGGACATATTTGCAACATATAAAACTGGTAAACGGCCGGGCGCGGTGGCTCACGCCTGTAATCCTAGCACTTTGGGAGGCCGAGGC